AATGCATTGTGGGAATTTGGCACGCATAGCGGTAGCACATCCCTACTCCAAACCAGCAGTTTTAAATTACGCGCTGATTGATAATGTCTTTTTCTATTTTTGCCATGAATTCCTTCCGTTGTTACTGGTGCATGGAGAGTCTCATTCGACTGAAAATACATAAGAGGTACATCTATGACGAGCATTTCGACCGTACAGATGTTGGTGCCATTTCTTTATTTTATTCCGACATTTCTTTCCCTGCGATGGTCTCCAAGACATTTCATCACCTGCTAATTCGTAACCAGTCTATGGCACATTCTAGGACAAAATAAGAGCACTTTATATTAGGGTCCGAAAAAAACCGAGTTTTCAGATTTTCTCCTATGTACAAATTTCCTGTCATAGGCTTTTTAAGAGTCTCGATAACATTGAAGACAAATTTTCGAATAGATTTGAGAGGTTCTGATTTCAATGACTTGATCGGGTTTGATAAAAGGATTCTAAAAGATGAATTCAGTTATGGTGTACGTACACTAAACCTGTCTCAAGAAACTGACAAGCTGAACACTCATTGGGACCTTGTTAATGACAAGGTGATGGTGATGACAGCGAAATTTGATACAGTGTCAGCGCATCTGCCCTAAGACTAAGTGATAGCTTTAGGTTAAACCACAAAGAGTAACTGCTCAAATTTACCTATTGTAGCTGTATTCAGAAGCATAGACATTTACGTAATATACCTCTGCTTTATTTTATTGTAAGGGGTTTCTCTTTATGTAACATATATCCAATCCTTTAATTTTCTCCTTAACCTGCCAGCAAATAATTAAATTTTGTGTTTTAATTGAAGTTTGAGAAGATAAAACAGAACTGTTGCAGAGTTCTCTTTCAGACTGAATTCAGGTGAAAACATCTGTATACTAGTTACTGACACATGATTCTCCTGAATCTTAAATTTTATTTCCCTGGTTTTTCTCACAAAGCCTCTTTTGTGTCTGTGTGCCAGCTAATGATTAAAATCTCAGTGAATAGATATGCCTTATCTTAGTGTTTTTTTAATTCCATATTTAAGTTTTTGGCATTTACTATTTTAAATTTCATAAATGGCCTTCCCTTTCCATTCTTGTAAAGAAATTTCTTTAAATAAAATCTGAATCATGAAGTCAGCTTAATTTTGACAAGTTTTAATCTTCATTCTACATAGGAACACTTTACTGGAGTAAAATGTTATATTTATTCACTCTCTTTCTGGTACATATGATTACCACATGTGTAGAATTTGGAATTGGGTCAACCAATAATCCCCTAATTGATATTTCTATTTATTCTCATTACCTGTCTGCTTGATATCATATCGATAGTGTGAGGAGAAATTCTGCCCAGGTCTCTAGTGGGCCTTTTTAGGGTTAAAATTGGGGATTTCATTATATTTTAATGATTGAAATATTCTTATGCTTTCAAATGTAACAAAAAGATGTGATGAGAATGTGATGTTATGAGACACTCACAATGGGAAAACCTGTTACTGTTAGCTTATATCTTAAATGTTTAAATTTTAATGGAAATACTTTTCTTTGAAAGCAGGGATACAGGAGTTTTCAAAGATAATAGAAATAAACTGTTTACAAGTAATTAAAAGCAAAATGACAACCATACTTTAATGCTTGACTTGCTTTACTCATACATGTCAGTTGTGTGTACCTACCATTGAAGAGGTGTGTCTAAGAAGACTTTTTGGTATGGCTGTTGTTCTTTGTTGATCTTTGTTGCCAAAAAAGCTACAAAGGCACTGAACTTCAAATTTTATGTACCAAGGCACCCTCCAAGGTGGAAGAGTAGATGACCGTAGAATGATGTTTACTAGGCACTTGCACTTACCGCAATCACATATTCAAGCAAAACTCTAAAAATATAAAACTGATTACATGATGTCCCTTTACACCCCAACATCAGTAACAGAAAACTGTTAACAATCATCAACATAACAACTTATAAAAATCGTTCCTATCAGGATGGTATAATTTTATAATACCAATAATATATATTACATATTTCATTTATTGTCATATTGAATGCTTGTCCATTACAATAAACAAAAACTTATTTTCCCAGAACAGTACGTGTTGTTGTCAAGTTGATTAAAATCAACAAGTATCAAAACGGGGTTTAGGTATTGTATATTTATTGGATAGATATTGGAAAATCCTAACAGATTTATACAGATCACAACGACAATAAAAACCCACAGTTTGGTTGATTCAAGTTAGCTTCCATCATTTCTTATATAAATGGTGCTTATTGTGAATTTAGGCTACTAGGTTCTTAATTGGGTGTTCTTAACTTTTGTTCAAAACAATCATGTATATTCATTAATGTGGCCACCCCTACATTGAATCAATTATGCATTTTGTTTTTACTTACACAGTTAGAGAACATAATCCCTCCCTGAAACATGTACGTGCCTCAAAAGAATGGATGTGCTGCTCACAGTGCTGTGTAGTATGATCTTATAGCACTAACAGTGCTCATGTCAATTTTTTGTTGCCTTTTTTGTATTGCATCAGTGTTGCAATACATTACCACCCTGCTTGATACTGTATTAAAAGTGCAATGAGAATTTACAAGCCAATCACTGCTGGGAGTCAAAGGGTTGATAAACAACAGTAGAGTAAGCTTAGGCTTCAATGCACATTTCAGTCATAGAAGGTTTATTTAAGTCAAAGAAGAAGACTTGATATGTTAATTCTGATATAAGCCTTTTCTCTATAAACCTAACACTGAGTTTCATTAATAATATTTCTTTGGATTTTGGATTAACCCAATTGATTATGTAGACTTTAATTTTTCACTATTTGAAATGAAAGCTGGAAAATAAATATGAAAAGTGCCAAGCTGTCTATTGCTGTGTTCATAATGTGAGTGTTTCGTAGTCAACATCACTGCATATTAGTTCATTCGAGAAAAAGCAAATGTTTATGATTGTGCAGTCTCAGCACAGCTCTGACTTGTTCAAGTACTTTGTCCATTTATCAGCTTTATGCTGAAACTGAGTCTTTCCTATTTCCTCGTATCCTGCCCTCTCTTCTTCGGTAATGGATTTCCATTTCTCTGCTAGCATGTCACTAATCTCTTTCATTGAATTGTTTGGTTTGCCCAGATCAAGTTTTGGGTATTCATCCTTTGGGAGACAACATATCCATATGCTGGTCGTTTACGTTCTTGTTTGGGCACACCATTCTCTTGATTTTCCTGATCTTGTGCTGCCTTTCACTTTTGCCTCAATACCTTCTTCAATTCTCTGTAAGCACTTCGGGCACTACTGTTGAGAAGTTCACTCTCCCTTACTGCTCTTGCCTGTGCCAGTGAGTTAGCAGGGGCATTGTCCAGGTTGCTTAGATTTAATTTGTACTGCTCTATATCAGGAATAGCTTTGTCTTTGTCAGCTTGTAGAACATACAGCTTAGAAACAATGGGCAAATCGAGCGAAACGAAAATTTTGTGAGTACTTGAAAACTGCAAGGGACCATTTCATAAAACTCTCAAGGCAAGTATCAATTATTAAGTTTAAGTATTAATTCTTCTTACAATTTCTATGTACTGTTAAGCAGACAGGTATGAGATTTATGAAAAGTATCAACTAGGGGATATTGTCTTGAAATAATACCAAATTCTCAGGACTACCAAAGAAAGAAATGTGTGATCATCAGAAGGAGAATTAGCTTTCAGATCTTGAGGGCTAAAGGGTTAGCTAAAATTGGGAACATATATCTGTATATAATTCGATGATGTGAGTTCTGAGTTATCTTGTCCAATTACAAATCAACAAATGATTACATTACTGGTCTTATTCATCGAATCCGTGATTATTGTAGCATATAACTTCAGCATCTCACGTAATTGGACTCGCAAACTAAATGTTTGAAGTCCTCAATGAATAGATGTACGTACCGTTGGTCTCGATAGCCTCATCCAAATGCTCTTCTTGACATGCATTTTTAATCCAAAATGGGAGAGTAACGAATACTCGACGCGGAAGAATTTCCTTTCTCCAATAATGACTGAAGTCTTGATTGATCATAATTTGCTGCTGAAGATTGCTGTTCTAACATTCGTGCGATTTGGATTCGTGTTTAAAGTTCTAGGCGAGCAATCGTGCTACATTTCTGACAGAGAAATAGTAGAACTTTCGTGCAATAAAATATAAGAAAGCTACACGCAACGTGCAATCGACGATCGCGATCGATAGAGGCTTTCTCTCTCCCCACGGCTCGCTTGTTGTTATCGATGGAAAACCAATCATATTTCAGGCTCCCGTTGGTTACCATGACGCCGGTTTTGATAATGTTACGCGTAACCGGGCAAGACAAGGAGAGACTGGGGATAAGTCAACCTCAACCTCCTGCGTGTTTACATCAGGCTATGTAAACACGGAAACCATTTTACATTTCTTCATTTTATTCAGAATAACAACAACCTGGAGCAATTTTTGCTTCTCTGAGCAAATTTTTAGCAACTTTTAGGTTTAGAGCACATGTCAAGCACGATAAAGTCAACGATATCCTAAAAAAATTGATTTATGCAATTTATTAAATGTTTCGCCGGCCTATTGTCTTATGTAAGAACAGGTAATCCACGGAATGTTTTGGCTCATTCTTGGCTAACTGCTGTAACCACTTGTTTTGAACAGTCCCATACATTTGAAGGTGAATCATTCGTGCGTGGTCACGAGAATGTTACACGCACGATATATCTCGCTGATTTTTGTGACTTTACAGTCACCACCACCCGACGAAAAGCATTACCCTTTGCAACATCGGTTGATTCGGAATCACTGAGAAAATTCGTCGGTGATGATGTCTTGCAGATGTCTTGTTCACGACCGTTCCTGATTGTTCTTCTCGTCTGATATTATAGTGACGAACTCATTGGCACATAAAGCATGCGTCATACGAATTTATTCTATTTCTGTCACAAACCTACTAGACCTTGAAAGGAATTTCGACATGTTCGGTCAGAACTCCTAAGAACTCATAGACATTTGTCTAAACAGGACTGAAGCCTTGAATCCCGATCACAAGTTTCTTACCCAACCCTATTCTCCCGTCGAGCAAGTTTTTGTCAAATCAGTTGTGTGGAATTCTGCACGGTTAACTCAGTTGGTCAATTTAAATACTTTGAAAAACTTTTCCCCTGTCTTTCTTCTTCTTTGATTTAGGGTTTCAGAAGCAGTGACGTTTTCACGCCGGCCTCTCTTTCTAAAATCTCACGATGATCTGAGTGAAGACTGCTTTAAATAATCAAGTTTCGATATTCAATTCAGGTATGTCAAAGTTGCCACGATTCAACAAAAATTCGTATTGAGAAACAGGAAATCAAACTTAACGTCATTTCTCTTATGCACTGTAAAATGAAGAGTTGATTTGGCCCGAAAAAAGGGACCAAAACGAGTGAGTCCAGTTTGTTACTGGCTTAGGGTCAATTCGGCCCCATTGAAATGGGGCTGTTTTTGGCACCCATTTTGGGGGCTAAATTGACCCAATTGTAAGGGCCAAATTGGACCATGTGAAGGGTCAATTTGGAGAATACTGGAGCCACTTTGGAATTTAAAGGGGCCAATACAGCCCCTAAAATTTCAGCCATCTCACAAATGACCCCTTTAAAAATGGCCAATTCAGCTCCAAAGTGAAGCTAGTTCAGAAGTAAAGGGCTCTTTCGTCTCCGCACCGATTTCCCCCCCTCACTGTCAAATAATGAAAATACTCCTCATACTTTATCTTTCAAACTCTCATTTACTAGGTTCTAGATAATGTTTATGTAAAAACCTTTTACAGTGCATGATTTTACAGTTATTGGGAATCTCAATTGTGGTATACAACAGACAAGCTTTGAAAGATCATGTGAAAGAATAGAACAACATATATACATATTTCACATAAATTCAACCATTTTCTTATATAGATCTCTTCACTAAATCATTATACTTCTCAAAAGAGCAAGCATTGCTAAAAATTACACCCAATAGACACCAGTGGGTAAAGCTTCCCTTTTCATTGACTTAGCAAATGTGATAATGTGAGGCAGTGTATAACCAAGAGAGGTTTAATTTTTCAAAGAACATAAAATTATCATAATAACACAAAGGCAACAAATGGTCCTGCTCCTGCACAAGAATATAGATCTTGTTTGATTTGTGCATTTGAAAAATGAAGAGTCTTAAAGCAGCACTGAGTATTCTTCCAGTGGATGGAGAATAGATGCACTCATATTGCTACTTTAGATATTATCAAAACATAACATTTCAGCAAGGAGTACCTCAGGCATTTGCCAAGTCATTAAAAAAGGAGAAAACAGTGGCAAGAGTCTGCCTGTACCCAATTTCAAGAAATGCTTCCTCTAAAAAAGTCAAAATTGCTTTTGACTAATTATAAAAAACATTGAAAATATAAATGAGCCAGGTAACCCAATAGGAGTATTCAAATTTTTTTCTTGTGGGAGCTGACAAATTACACTTCCCTCTAACTGTTATAATGTACAGGAGATCAATGTCATGAAGATCTCCAACAGTTACAATTTGTGGCTGGACATAATCTCTGATTGCTGAATCAGCATCCACTACTCTCTGTGATAAAAACAAATTTTATAACCATATTAAAAACAGGCCAAAGTGTGAAGAGCCCATAGCCAGTCAAAATTTCCAGCTAGTCCGTCATTTTTAGTCGATCACATTCTCTTTGTTTTATTTTCAGTAATCAGATAATATATATGTATATCTGTGGGTGTGTATGTATATATATATGAGATGTTTTTCTACAACTGTAAGCTAGAAAACTCGAAATGGAAGTGGAAATTTGGCTCAATGCTTGTTTTTTGTCTCCTCTTCATGGCTTGAAAAAATACTACACAACTCCCAAAACATCTATGCATATCACACATGTCCATGTGGGGTGTTCAATCATCAAAAAAAAAAGAATCAACTATTCCATGTGCAATATTTATTTAATGGTTTGACGACAGGAAATTGAAAAAAATTGCTAAATCAAAAGAACTGAAAAAAGAAGGCAAAATCAAATACAACCCCAAGGTACTTGAACCTTTGTATATAGACTTCATGAGCAAATGAGCTCAGTAATTTTAACTGTTCTGAAGTATTCTTGTACTAAAGTAGTAGTTTTTTAGACTTCTACCTCCAAAATGATTACAACTTCATTCAATGCATGTGTGATGACAAACACACAAGAACAAAGGTCAGAAAATTAAATGATCAGAGTGATTATTCAGCACCTGTTAAGTTTAAGGCAAGAAATTCAGTACCAAAAAATTATCTATTTCCACTACAAACAGAAGAAGTAAAGCAATGGATTTTTAAACTTCACCATTCCATTCAGTTTCCAAGTCAACTAGTATCATGCCAGCAACACAACAATACTCTACAATAATTTTTTTGCAATCCACTGCCGCTCAGAGTGCTTTGGGTTTTTAGTATGGAAATTGATGCTGGTACAAACATCCCATACCAGTTCACTATTTTGGTTTGCAGTGATATATCCCTCCTGGATATCCAACTCTAGTGAGGCAGAGAACCCTACAAAAAATGAAAAAATGAACAAATTAATTTGTCCTTGGGGAACAGTGATTTTTGCAACTACAAAGTTTTCATACATGTAAACAAACTGTGCATAAAAGGAAAAAAAATGTAATAATGACTCAATGATCATCAATGATGTACTTTCACCAAACTATATAAGTACTTATCAAGAAAAGAAATCATACCTCCATGTACTTCAGTTTTAGTAAAATATTCATGAATTAATAAGGATTGCTTGTAGACTTAAAAAACTAGAACAAAGAAAAGTTTCATATCCTAGATGGTAACTTGAATTTTGAAAGTCTTCTAGGAGGAACCTATAGGTAAAGATTTGTTTTAAAGAAAATTAAACTGCCTGATAATATCCTGTCAATTCATTAATTTTTTGATTAACCAGATTTACACATTGGGTTTACTTTGTTTTGTGCATAGAGTACGTTAAAAATACAGCAAATCTCACCATTCTTTGTGAGTGCTTTCCTCGACATTTCTCCTCCTTCGTTTACCAACTGGCACCTTGTGTGTTTTCCTTTGGGATAAAATAGAAAAAAAAGGAATCGATAACGTACTTCTTACCATCCAGCTAGAGGAACTTCCTTTTCGCAATGCTCAGTTCCGTCGCCTCGTCCGTGAAACAGAGATGCTTAGGCGATGTTCTCTTTTCTTTCAATGTCGATTTCACTTCTAAACTTTTATAATCGTTGATGTTCTCTGAGTCATCAATCGACGTTTGATACGTCTGATTATGCACACTGAAAGAGAAAGAGCCAAACATTCAGCTCCAGTGGATACAAACCAAGACACAGACATAAAAATATCATTTCATTTTTTTCAAGAAGAAGGTTAAGAATTCAGAGTGAGAGATCCTAAAATCAGAGAATCTTGAAATAAGTTAAGTTCATCGTGTGCAAATGCAGTATCCATTTCCAACTGTAACCGTCTCTATCTCTCGGAGCCAAAATGAGAACACATGACCTTAGTTGTGAAACCGCTGAGACCTAATAAGGCTCAGGAGAAAAGGCGAACCACGCATGAATCAACCTCTCAGATCGCACCGACGAAGAACTCGTGTCATCTCTAGGTTCACTGCTCATTTCAATCAATTTCTTGAACTTTTTATGATTGGGAAGTACTGCCTTAGTTCGTCTGCATCTTGAGAAAGGAGATCTTGGCCAATGAAACCGTCCTTTTCTAAAATATATGATACGAACAAAGATTAATGGAGCGGTCAAGTTTGTATGTAAAGTTGCAATAGAATGTCTTGTTTAGCAAATTTCTTTCGCTTACCTACCCTTTCCTAAGTCTCAGGAGAAAATTCATGCGACTGGAGCCAAAACAAAAACCTCTTCAGTGATGAATTCGCTGTTATAATTCATTATTGTGTCCGGCGCACGCGGTCTAGGTTCGACGAATGTGATACCTAGAAGGAGCTGCTCCTTAAGAGTGGTTACCACCATATAGACATTCACCCGGAACATCGGGCGCTCTTGGGATTTGCATGGAAATTCCCAGGTGTTCATCATTAAGGTATTCTGTGTTAACCGTCCAACCGTTTGGTTTATCCTCTACCCCTTATATTTTCAGTGAATGTCTTAAACCACTGGAGAAATACAGGAAGGTTAACGGGGTCAATATTGCTTTACTTCTTGATGATGGTTTGCTTATCGATATTGATCGAAACTCCCGCTTACACCGTGGATTGCTTTGCAGCTAGTTTTTATAATAAGAAGATCAGCAGATTTTTCTCTAGATTCTAGAGGGTGGATTTTTTCGTTCAAAATCTGGTTGGCGAAAATTTCCTTGTTGTTCCCCTTGTAAGCTTAAACTCCAGAGCGGTTCACCATCTTTTTGTTTCCAAGGCCACCGTCACTATAGTTGTACCCTTCGGGCCATCATCTTATTTTTGGCCAACTATCTCCAGGAAATTTGCCAGTTCCATAGAGGATTATAAGTGGTTCAACGCTAAGGATGCATTAGAGCTTGGGCGGAACACCAACTCGTTTTTGGGTAGTAACAAATTCACTGGGCTAGTTTTAACTGTTCGTATGAAGTTCTATTCTCCCTCTCATGCTTTTGGGTAATTTCATCAGTATTGCTTAGTTGACTGTCTACGTATTGAGCAGGGAAAAGAGATATGAGACGCTTGTCATTAAGTGCATGTATATAGTGAAAGGGGCCGCTGGCCTGAGTTGAAGAAGAAACGGTTTTTGTAGACACTGCCACTTGCTGACAGCCTTTATGAAGGTCAATTTGAAACGAGAACGGGAGGTTTAACTTGCATGTCGTTTATTACCACAGCGTTTTTCTCGTTGCCGATGTTTGATGTGGACGGCCATTGGAATCATCTTCAGGCTAGGATAAGGCCAGACTTGATAGATCTTCTCTTGATGCTACTGGAATCTAAAGCGGAGTCTGCATCGAAGAGATACAAGAAAGAGATTCTTAGGTTTCTTTAATGGTGTAATTTGTCCAATGCTGGGCCGGTGCCTCCTTTCTATGTCTCTCTCGCAGTTTCCTATCTCTATGAAGTTTTATTAGGAGGGCGCCTATGCCTGCCTGCCGATTTTATTAGAAGAATAATTGAAAGTATGCTGGTCCATCAGCTAATTTAGAAGGATTTACGTTTAGCTTGTATTTGCTCGTTAGGTTTTGCAAAGTTTTTTCGTTATGATGAGCTGAGCAACATTGCTCCCGCCCATTTAAAGTTTTAGCCTAAATACACGAGGGTGTTCGTTCCTAAGGCGAAGAATGACATTTACCTGGAAGGGGATTATGTTTATGTCAAGAGGCTAGGTAACAATTTTTGTCCCGTGGCACTTTTAGAAAGGTACACTTTGATGGGAGATATTAATCTCTCCAGCTTCGTTGCACTCTTCAGGCCAGTAAGACTGTTTAAATCTACTAGTGAGTACAAGTTGTATAGAGGGAAGTTATAATACACTAGGTGTTGGGAAATCTTTGAAGATTGTCATAAAGAACTCGGTTTAGATCATAAAATGTATGGCCTCCATAGTTTAAGATCCGGAGGTGCTACCTCTGGTGTTAGTCACAATCCTATTCTATCAGAAAGTTACTTAAATTTCATGGACGCTGGTAGTCGGATACTGCAAAGGATATGTAAATCTAAGAAGACGTCTCTAAGCGTTTACAAATGAGTAGTCAGATAGGCTTATAGAAGCCCTCATTAATGGTATCATCCCTAACAAGCACGGTGGCTTATAAATTTGGTTCTGATCGTACGTCATTACTTATCGATGCGTGTATTGAGTTGTAAAATTAAACGTCATGCAGTTTGGATTGCCCAAGCAACCAGCCATCAAGCTTTAGTGGTTATGTCTTTCTAGTATTTAAGGGGGAAATAATTTATTTATAAAACGCTGCCTTGAGCAGTTTTTTTTCTAACAGCCATGTCACAAAAAAAATCGCGTGTTTTTATGAGCTTCAATTCGTCCGCATTTTGATGAATAATATACTTTTAACACTCTACTACGTCGTGTGTTTCTCCCTATACTTCTTTCGTGCTCGAACCACTTCCTGCGTGCTTTACAACAGAACAGAGCACATTCAAGGCTTCAATATTTGTTGATTAAAGGACGGCTTTAGAGACAGTTTGAACTGTCATTTCCCAACACTTAAATAAGTTTAATACACATATACTGAAAATTCTTGTCAGATGCCAATTTTGTCTTTTAATAGCATTTAGCTTGGCAGACATGTGTGGTAAAGATTTTACAATTGAAAAATTCGTGATGTAAACATAGGAAAACCGCGATTTTTTAAAATAAATAATCGAGTTTTAAGCGCAAAGTGTACCTCACATGGGTCTTTGTCATTGAAACAAAATGCAAATCAACTTCCTTCATTAATTATTAAATTTCTTAAACAAACTTTTACCTCTTACAGGCAAGGCTCAGGTCTTCAGCTTTAAATCTCTATTATTCGTTTTTTTTAATCAAATTCTATTTTCCCGTCTAACCACTTCCTGCGTGCTTTACAACAGAACAGAGCACATTCAAGGCTTCAATATTTGTTGTTTAAAGGACGGCTTTAGAGACAGTTTGAACTGTCATTTCCCAACACTTAAATAAGTTTAATACACATATACTGAAAATTCTTGTCAGATGCCAATTTTGTCTTTTAATAGCATTTAGCTTGGCAGACATGTGTGGTAAAGATTTCACAATTGAAAGATTCGTGATGTAAACATAGGAAAACCGCGATTTTTTAAAATAAATAATCGAGTTTTAAGCGCAAAGTGTACCTCACATGGGTCTTTGTCATTGAAACAAAATGCAAATCAACTTCCTTCATTAATTATTAAATCTCTGAAACAAACTTTTACCTCTTACAGGCAAGGCTCAGGTCTTCAGCTTTAAATCTCTATTATTGGTTTTTTTTTATCAAATTCTATTCTCCCGTCATGTGAGTTTATGTCGAATCATTTGCATGAAACTCTGCATTGTTTTAACTCAAAGTTGGTCAATTTAATACTTTGTAAAACTTTTCACTCGTTTTCTTCCTATTTTAGGGTTTCAGAAGCAGGTTTTCGTCAACGTTTCATGATGAATACAGCGAAGGCTGCATTAAATGATGAAGTTTCGATAGTCAATTCGGGTATGTAAAATTGTATTCAAGTGCATATAACTTTTAGATTCATTTTCAGATTGACTTTCTGTAGTATTAGAACTTTGTTTTGAAATGTGAAGCTAATCCAATGATTACTTTGGTGTTTAGTAGACGAATTTTCCGAATTTGTGCAGACACTGAAATCAACTAGTGTTTGCTCTGTATTACGTTTATTTCTTATGCATTTGTTGCATGCAAACTGGATTTCTCTCAGCAAATCATATTGTAAAGGTTTAGATTTTTTTAAAGGACATGTAGAAGTTAGAATTTTTAAAGGAATAGCAAATATTTATGTGAAGCATGTCTCGCGCTAAGTGACTTTGAAAATTATTTTAAAATTTGTTTCAAAAATGTTAGGGAAAAAAAGCGTATGTTTGCGAGCTGTTGCTAAGGCGACCGACGATTTCAAAGAAACAGAAGCTTCATTGACCAGGCCTTATTCGCATCCACTTCTGACCAACACTGGCCCTTACCTTCACATTGAAACTCCTGGTGTCATGTCGAAGAAAATATAATTGATCCTTTTTGGGATATTTTCTTTAGTTTATTCAAATATAAAATTAACGCTGTCTAATTGAGAATCTCTTAGATATTAAAGATATTACAAAGAATTCCGAGAAAAATAAAGACTATCGGATTCTGAGAAATGCGCTCATAGCACAATAAAGAAAGATATTGCATGTCACGCCAGTGAAAATTAAAAGACCAAGAAAATTAACATATATACCACCTTCTCGTCGGCGTCATTCAAACGGGGACTTTCCCGAGGATATGAGTCTTTGTTGGTCTGTTTGTTTAACCAATGATAAGCTTCAAATTTTGTGTACACAATGGGAAAAATATTTTTGATTTGTAAAATTTATTTTTGTAGTGAAATTTTTTCGAAAAGTTTAGTAGTGTTCATAAGCGTAACTTGTCACGCCAAGTTCATGTATGTAACGCTTGTCATCGAAGCAATATAGCGACACTTAGTTCTGTTCGTAACTACCAAGTTCATGATTAACTTAAGATTAAGATTTTGCTGCTTACGAATGTTGGTTTTGAATTGTATTTTAATAATTTTTTTTCCATCAGTAATGAGTTTCACATCAACTCTTTTTCTTATATCTTCAATAGTTTTACCAAAGACACTATTTTTCATAAGTTTGAAGAAATCTTTCTCAAATGAATTTTTGGCAGTTGTTCGTTTCTGCGTGTTGAAATCGATGTATTGTTTTAATCAAGGGGACTGTTTAAATTGTAATGCTCTATGGACTTTCTTCAACTGTAATCCCAAGTCCATATACAATTGAAGGTTTCTGTAATAAAGCGCGTAACTTATTTTTGTTGATAATGTCGGAACTAGCTTTTTAACTTGGCCGATGCTTATATTGTATTTCTGTCTTATTCTTTCACAACAACTGGAAAGCATATTTTGAGAAACGTGGGTTTTTTCTACGGCTAATGGGTAATCATCATGGCTGTCATGCAATTCTTTTGGGTATTCAAGGTCGACCTCCAATGATATTTATCTGTCTGTCTTCTCCTTTCATTTCTTCTCCTTTCATGTTCTTATTTGTGTATTTATTAGCTGTTTGACTAATCTCCTGCTTGATAAAATGGGTGTGTCACGAAGCTAGGAGACGATTCTTGTTTTCCTTTTTAAACACTTTATTATTTATCTTAAACTTCCGAAAACCTTAAGATCTCGAACCTTATTTATAGTAGCCGATAACATCATACTTATTTCTGAAACACTATTTTTAGCAACAAGAACATTTTAGACGCTAATGATGACAGGTCCCTAAAACAACTCATTAGAATGTTCCGGAATATGGAGAAGTTTCTAGCTCAGCTTATGCAATAGCGTTGAGGTAAATCAATGTTCTATTTATTTCTGGAGACTTCGTTACATTCCTTCCCCCTTAAGTCGCTGACGGCGGCCCACGTGATAAGCCATCAGCATTGCCATGTTTTACTTTAGGTCGATTCCGTATTTCATATTGGTACTGCTGGAGTAAAAATTCCTAAAAATGTTTCCCTCACAACTTTCTGCACTGTGTCCTTCTTGACTGTCATCTAAGGCAGTAAACACCTCTACCGTCTCAGGCTTCTGCCATTTCTTCAACAAGTTAAAATGGTACACTTTTTTCTCTCTACGCCTTCCTGGAGCCTGTACCTCGTAATAAACTTCAGATACTCTTCTCGTCACTTTATACGGGCCATTCCGCTCAAGTTGCAACTTACTTCTTCTTGCGGGTTCAAGTATTAGCTCTTCACCTCCCACTTTGAGGTCTTGTGGTTTGGACTTCTTGTCATAGTAACTTTACTGCTCATTCTGCGCCTTAGCCACATTTTCCTTGACTAGTTCTGACATTTCCTCTGGACATATTCTCAGCTCCAAAACATGGATGCTAGTGTTCTCTTTCTCACCTTCGTAACCAACCCAGGCCTCTTTTGGGACATCAAGGGGTCCACGTACTCTCCTTCCATAGAGGAGCTCAAAGGGAGAAAACCCGGTCGACTATTGAGGGACTTCTCTGTATGCAAAGAGTAGGTAAGGAAGGTGCTCATCCCAGTCCTTCTGATTACTTGCTGTGAATTTTCTAATCATCGATCTAAGTGTTCCGTTAAGTCGCTCCGTTAGGCCATCGGTCTGTGGGTGATACGGGAACGTCCTCAAACGACTAATGTTCAACATGAGGTATATTTCTTGCAACAGGCTCGACATCAAGTTTGACCCTTGGTCTGTGAGGATCTCGTCAGGAATCCCAACCCTTGCAAACACTGATACTAGCTCTTTGGCGATTGTATTAGCTTCCGTGTTAAGTATGGGTATAGTGTCTGGAAAACGCGTCACATAATCGCAAATTGCAAGAATATATTTGTTGCCATTGTTGCTCCTCGGGAGTGGTCCAACAATGTCCATAGCTATTCTCTGGAAAAGTTTCTCAATCAATGACAGAGGGATCATCTCAGCTCGTGCTCCATATCTCTTTCCTTGCGCCCTCTGGCAAACCTCACACGTACGGCAATGATTGGCAACATCCCGGAACACGCCAGGCCAGTAATAGCGCTGTAATACTCTGTCCTTGGTTTTGTTGATTCCAAGATGACTAGCTGCGGGTATATCGTGTGAAAGCTTGAGAACTGTGCTGCGGCACTTTAGGGGAAGTACCAACTGTTCCACAGATAAACAACGTTTATCCAATGGCTATTGACTGATTAGATTGTCCAACTACAGCCCTAAGAAATCCAAATAGCAAGTCTATTTTGTATCCCTAAGCTTGCAATTTTGAGATCAACTTCCAAATCAAACACATTGAGAACCGTTTTTGGTGATCTGTTGAAATAAGCTGTTTAGGTTGTTGAACCATCTTGAGTCGTCTTTTCAAATGTGATGCTCAGGGTTTCAACAAATTTCAGACCTTTCATCTGTCGCATCTCCTGTTTTAATCTGCATGCAATGGCTTTTCTTGTATCATTATTCTGTTTCAATAAATTTTAGTCATTTCTGATGGCTATTTCAAGTGATTTTCTGTATCCTTTTAAAGCTTTGGCTTTCTCTTCTATTTTATTTCTTGGTGCAGCGACTAGCATAATATTTTTATTGTTCTTGGTTTCAGTGTAGGTTTATATCCATCACGGAACTCAGGTGGTGGAGGAATGATGTTTTCTTCATATGCTTGAACCATCTGTCTCACACTCTCTCACACAACTAGTCTTTTCACAAATTGCTGTTCTGTCTTAGTGATTCTTTCATCTTGCTTTAATAGGAGATGGGTCGATTTAGATTTTGTCGATTTCTTTAAACCTTTCTTTTGCATTATATTATTAGTCGAGATATTTTTTTATACTTCTATAAAGCCACACCTCTTTAAGCCAATTTGTGAAATATGTTGGCTTAATAAAGAGATATTACGTCAACTACATGTAAATGATTAAAATCATTATAGATAATTGCGCATCCAGTTTATGATTTATATGTAGCGAATACAAAGAGCCAGATTATTAATGTGGTGAAAAAGGTGCCTATGAATGATAGTAAACATAAAAATGGTTATATGGCGTGTAATGTAAGAAAGTATCGTCAAAAAGGACAAAAACGTTATGTTCATAGATTCGTATATTAATTTCATAATGGTATTGTACCTGATGGTAAAGTGATTGACCATATAAATGATATAAGAGATGACAACCGATTGAAAAACTTACAACTTATAACGAACAAAGATAATTCTAAGAAATCAGCAAAGAAACATGGTTATAAGTTTGCATCAAATAGTCATATGAATAAAGTGTGTGAAAGCCATTAATAGAACTATAAACGAAATTACCTTCTATCATAGTACTTATTATGCACAACAATGTCTTCGAACCAATGCTGATAATGCAAAAATAGTATGTGAAGGTATAAATAATTGTAAATCCGGAAAATTAAAAAAGGGACAGTTGTAATTATGAATTCAAATACATTGAAGAAAAAAGACATGAATAAAAAATCATGAGAAACCACAACAAACAAGAAAAAGAAAGATTATAAAAAAACGAGTCCCATTAATTTGCATTTTGTAACTCATGGAAATACTCCAGATGGTTCTTTGATGTTTCATCTGTTTAAATTGACCTTCACATTAATCACACTTTATTCTAACATCGTTCATAAAATTGATAAATTCACGTATGATGTCATCATAATCATTGGATATCATAAATTTATATCCAATCTTCTTACAGTTCAAAATGACTAAAATGAAACACGCATGATTCCCTGTTACTCTGTCTGACGAGTGCGTAAGCACGAAACTCAGAGTAACAGGGAATCATGCGTGTTTCATTTTAGACATTTTGAACTGTACTTCGCTCTACACTCGTGTATTGAGCACTTTCCAACAGTATTTACTACTAATTCCCACAATTATCCAATCTTCTTTTACTTTTCAATCACGGCTAATTGTTTATCAGATATTTCTTAATTAGAATTAGGCGTCTTAAACTCCAGACAGAAGCCCCTATTATGAAAGATGACTGTAAGCAATAGTAATATCTGGTTGCCCGGCCATATAGCCTTTTTTCCAGGAGCTTTTTCTCTTGTATGTATGTTGTATCCTGATTCCCATGACATTGAGCGATAAAAATAGTATCAGATACGCTTTCTTATAAAATCAACTATCTTGTAATGGAGATCAGTCTCTATTCCAATTTTAGTCATCTTATTATTTGGATAATCAAACAATTTGTAATAAACATATTTCCTTATACATGGAAGTACAGCAGATGTCACCCAGTAATTGAATTTTTTAGCTGATTCTAATTTTGAAGATAAAAGAAGAGAGTAAAAACCAGATTAATTTATAAAAATCATGTTCCGGACCTGACCCGTCGTTTTGACGGGAAAGGTTTTATAGTCTTCAGAGTCGATATGTTTCCTGATAGCTTGATCTGTGCCTACATAACCAAGTATCTCATCCACTTGTTGAGCTAACAAGCCAACTGGGAGCTCGCCATTATGTTGGATCCAAATAAACCTTCCAAGAGGTGAATAATGACCGTAAATATATGAAAATCATATATGTGCACTGCAGTTGAAGAAACGAATATAGAAGCGATCCTAGTAGTTATGAACACTACTGAACTAGTAGTTGAAATAAGGCCTAAAAAAAATTTAGGCGCGTACGGGATTTGAATCCATGATCTCTGCGATACCGGTGCAGCGTTCTGCCAGCTGAGCTAACAAGCCAGCTGGGAGTCATTCTGTTGGATCCAAATAAATTTTCCGATGACTGTAAATATATGACTAATGACTATAAATATATGAATAATGACAGTAAATATATGAATAATGACAGTAAATATATGAATAATGACTGTAAATAGATGTGCACTGTGGTTGAAGAAACGAATATAGAAGCGATCCCCGTAGTTATGAACACTACTGAACTAGTAGTTGAAACAAGGCCTGAAAAATTTGGTCGAGCACTGCACCGGTATCGCAAACGTCATGGATTCAAATCCCGTAAAGGGCCTGAATGTTTTTTTCATGTGGGCTAGTGGATATGAAGCCGCGTGAGAAAATAATTTTCAACTCGCGTTTTGAGCGGGAAATCAAACTGGCGAGGTTGTAGTTGATCAGTGATTCTCAGTATTTTGGAATTTTTAATCAACTCGCAAAGCAACGATACCGGGAGAGCTAAAGCTTTGTCAACTGGGCAAATTGTTATAATTCAAGTTGTTGGAGAGAGGGTTTTGAGTGGAAATAGGCTGGAAAGAAAGAGACTGAGTTATGAAAAAAAGCAAGAAGTAAAAGGCGTGAAGCAAGTTGAGAAAAAACGGGCAGTAAAGTTAGAAATGACGCCAAAATAGGCAGAATACAGCGAGAGGAGTGCGAAAGAGAGCAAAAAGAGGCTAAAGTAAAAAGATGAAAATATCTAGAGAAGAGCAACGCGAGAAGGAAATACAAAGATAAAGCTTTAAATCTCTATTAAACGTTTCTTATCAAACTCTATTTTCCCGTCGAGTGCGCGTATGTTAAATCAGTTGCATGAAACTCTTTTTCCTCGGAGATGGTCAACATGAATACTTTGCAAAACTTTTCTCTTGTTTTTCTTCTTATTTTAGTGTTTCAGAAGCAGTGACGTTGGCTAGCCTTCTTCTTTTTCTTCTGTCGTGAGTGTTTGACGATAATCTGGGTGACGACTGCATTAAATGATGAAGTTTCGATATTCAATTCAGGTATGTCAAAGTGTATTCAAGTGTATCTTTAAAAGAATCTAAAAGTTAAAACCTTTAGATCCATTTTCGGATTAACTTTAACGCAGTAGTTTTAGAACTTTGTTCAGAAATGTGAAACTAATCCAATAATTACTTTGGTGTCTAGCGGAAGAATTTTCCGAGTTTCTGCATACACTGAAATCAGCTATTTTTTTGCTCTGTACAGTCAAACCTCGATTATCCGAACTCGCTAGGACTAGGTGAAATAGTTCTATTAATCGAGGGTCTGGATAATCGAGAATATGAATATTAACGAAGACATTAAATCTTGAAACATAGTATTTACAAATCAAGGACATGATGATCGTAATTAACTATTCGTGATGCTGTGTGGCTTGTTTATCTTACATACTACGCCGAACGAGCCAATAGAGCGTGAAATCTCACTTTGCAACAAAGCAACTCTAAGCCGATCGGACCTAATTCGATTGTTCTCCACTAGTTACGACGCGTGCGAGCGCTGCTTTTGCTGTTTGAAAGCGGGAAAAATATGCCTTTACTTCACTTTTCAATGATATAGAAAATGGCTACTGATCTTGATCAAGGCTAATAAATATTTATTAAAAATCTGGTAAAACTGTCCTGTTTTAGGGTACTTTAGACAAGATGCAAGCAGTTCAAACTGCACAGATTAGGTTTAAAATTTGTCCTACCTTGGACCTGTGTGCCGATGCATGTACAAATCTTAGTTATCATTTTCCATGACTTTCTAATGACCGACAACACATAATTTTCACGCAGGCCTCGAAAACTAATTGTTAAAATCTCTCCGGGCTTGCCATGACCCGGACGAACTCTATGACTGTCCGCAATCCGGGCAACAAACATTTCATGGTTACGTATTTAATAAAGCTGTGCGACAAATATTGTAATCTTACCTCAACTTAAAAGCAGACTTAAAAGATGTTTCATTAAACTTGTTTCCTCCTAGTACTTAAGCTTAAAAATTTTGACTGAGCTTTACAGAGTCCATTTTTCAGGGCTTTCGACCGTTAGAATATCAGGTTTTTAAATTACATGGAAGGAAGAAAGCAATCGCGGAGATGGATATGCTTTGCACACGTGAAGTACGTGTTGGTTTCTTTATTATTTTCCTCTAATTACAAACTTCACGCGCGTGTCGTGGGGCTGCTAAAAATCACGCTGGGGGTCCCAGCTGACCATTGACCCAGCCTTAAATTTTTCAGTTTGATGGGTTACTTCTATTTTATATAATTATGGGGATACGCTGCGCGCGCTGCGAGCTCCGCTATCATACTTCTACGCACATCAGCTTTAAAACAGTATTCACGAATTAATAAGGATTGCTTGTAGACTTAAAAAATCAAAACAAAGAAAACTCTCTTACCATAGATGGTAGTTGGAATTTTGAAAGCCATCCAGGAGAAACCTAGGTAAATATTTGTTTTCAAAAATATATAACTGTCTGATAACATCCTATCAATTCACCAATTTTTTAATTTACCAGATTTAAACATTGGGTTTACTTTGCTTTGTGCATGGCGCAAGTAAATACGTTTCTAGTTTAATTCAATAAAAATACAGCCAATCTCACCATTTTTTGTGGGTGCTTTCCCCAACATTTCTCCTCCTTAACTGACCAACTAGCACATTGTCTGTTTTCCTTTGGGATAAAATCGAAAGAAAGTAATCGATGATGTACTCTCTTCACCATCCTACTAAGTATAATCTATAAGAACTAAGTTAGACGATGCTCAGTTCTGTCGGCTCTTCCGTAAAACAGAGATCCTTGGGCGATCTACACTTTTTTTTTCGGTGCCGATGTCACTTCTAAATTTTCATAATCGCTCTTTGAAATGTCTTACTCGAAGGACTTGATTCTGCACGTTGAAAGAGAAAGAGCCAAAAAAATCAGCTTAAGTGGATACAAACAAAGACATAGACATAAAAATATCAGTTAATCTTTGCCAAAAAAAACCAAGAATTCAGAGTGAGAGATCCTAAAACCAGAGAATCTTGAAATAAGTCTATCTTGTGCAAACGCAGTGTTCGAACTGTAACCGTCTCTATCTCTCCAAAATTAGAACACACAACCTTAGTTGTGAAACCGCTGAGACTCAGCAAGGCTCAGGAGAAAAGGCGAACTACGCATGCGTCAAATAATCTGTACTTATCGTACTGACGAAGAACTCGTGTCATCTCTAGGTTTGGCGTTCATTGCAATCAGTTTCTTGAACTTTAGACGCTCTTTTATAAGAGGGAAGCAGTACCTTAGTTCGTCTGCATCCCGGGCAATGGCAACGAGATCTTGGCCATCGCAACCATTTTTCTCTGCAATATAAGATACGAACAAAGATCAACGGAGCGGTCGAGTTTGTGTATGTAAAGTTACAATAAAACGTGTTGTTAAGCAAATTTCTTTCGCTTACCATCCTTTCTTAAGTCTTACTCCATGCGACTGGAGCCAAGAAACAGCCTCTTCAGTGATTCATAAATTCGCCGCAATAATTCATTATTGTGTCCGACGCACGCGGTCTAGGTTCTAATGTGATACGCAGAAGGAGCTGCTAAGACGCACTAACAAAAGATGGACGCATTTTGGAAAGAAATCTCTTATACAACAAAATGTTACTCATTGAAAAATTCACAGCATAAATTTGAGTAAGCCAATGGATTTACTGTGCCGGTTTCAACCATGTGAAAGATCTACTTTTACCGGTATATGGCCCTTATATATGGCCTCTATAGTTTAAGATCCGGAGCTGCTACCTCTACTGTTTGTAACAATCCTCATCTATCAGAAAGGTTACTTAAACTTCATGGAGGCAGGAAGTCGGATACTGCGAAGGATATGTAAGTCTAGGAAGACGTCTCTAAGCGTTTACAAATGATTAGTCGGATAGGCTTATAGAAGCCCTCATTAATGGTATCATTCCTAACGAGCACAGTGGCTTAATTGGGTCTGATCGTATGTCATTACTTATCAATGCATATATGGAGTTGTAAATTAAAACGTCAGTTTTGGATTGCTTGAGCAACCAATCATCAAGCTGTTGTGGTTATGTCCTTCTTGAAGGGGAAAATGATAGACGTTCGTTTGAGCGTAGCGACTTCGAATGTAATTACATTAACCGCACTTCGAGTGAACAACTAAGAGCTTACTCTGATATCCTTTCCGATGTGTTGAGTGGAAGGCCACATCAGTCACTGAAGCCGAGTTTTACAGCGCTCTCATCCCGAGCAATCTTTATGTTCTTGTGAATTCCGCTGTCGTCTATTCGTAAAACACTGCCTTGAGCAGTTTGTTTTCTAATTGCCATGTGAAAAAAATCGCATGTTTTTATGAGCTTCAATTCGTCCGGATTTTAAGGAGTATTTTACATTCAGATTATGTACGGGCGAAAGTATTAAATTCGACCCGCCGCGCCGAACTATTTTAGTTTGTAAACTATTCTGGTTGTGAACTTTGGTGGTTTTACGTTTTTGACAGCTTTAGTCTTGTTTAACCAAAAAGATTATTTGAACCACGCTAACAAGGATTCTGATTGGCTTATTGTAGCGTGTCTTTGAGAGTATACAGGATGTTTATGACAATGCTGTTCGCTTTGGAAATAAAGTTTGTTTTGAAAATTGAAAGTAATGTTTGGGGATTTGAACGGATTCTTGCTCTCTAGAAGTGGGGAGAAACACTCTACTACGTTATATGTTTCTCCCTACACTTATTGAGTGTTCTAACCGCTTCTAGCGTGCTTTACAACAGAACAGAGCACATTCGAGGCTTATCTATTTACTAATTAAAGGACGGCTTGGAAGACAGTTTTGCGTGATCTAGACCCTGAAAAGAAAATGCAAACAAAATACAAACCTTTTAACATTTACGAGCAAGACTCATAAACATTTGTTTAAGCAGGTCTACAGCTTTAAATCTCTGTTATAAGTTTCTTATCAAACTCTATTCTACCGTCATGTGAGTTTATGTCGAATCAGTTGCATGAAATTCTGCATTGTTTTAACTCAAAGTTGGCCAATTTAAATACTTTGTAAAACTCTTCACTTGTTTTCTTCTTATTTTAGGGTTTAAGAAGCAGGTTTTCGTTAACGTTTCACGTTGATTACAGTGAAGGCTGCATTAAATGATAAACTTTCGATATTCAATTCGGTTTTGTAAAAGTGTATTCAAGTGCATTTAACTTTTAGATTCATTTTCAGATTAACTGTCTGTGGTACTAGAACTTTGTTTAGAAATGTGAAGCTAATCCAATGATTACTTTAGTGTTTAGTGGACGAATTTTCCGAGTTTGTGCCTACACTGAAATCAACTATTTTTTGCTCTGTATTACCTTTATTTCTTATGCAATGTGTTACATGCAAACTGGGTTTCTCTCAGCAAATCATAATGTAGAGGTTTAAATTTTTTAAAGAACATGTAGAAGTTTGAATTATTAAAGGAATAGCAAACATTCATATGATGCATGTCGCGCTAAGTGACTTTGTAAATTATTTTAAAATTTGTTTAAAAAATGTAAGGGGAAAAAACGTTTAGTCGCAAGGTTACAAGGTCCTTGCTTCGAGCTTTTCCTAAGGCGACCAACGATTTCCGAGAAACATAGGCTTTAGTTACCAGACAAACACGAGTGAAGTCTCGAAAGTCAATTGATCGCCATAGCACCAACGGTTTCGATTTCTGCAATTTATTAAATGTTTCGCCGGCCTATTGTCTAATATTAGAATGGGTAAGCGGCTGCAACGATGACCAAAAGGATTTAATAATGGTGACTGTATTGGTGATGTTGCACACGAATTCTGTAGTCTCAATTTCACTACTATGACTGGGGGAATGGTTTACAGAGTAGGTGAAAATGTTGTTGCTGGTGAACATGGGGATGTTTTAAACATCACTCAGATTTTTACAACAGCTATAAATGGTGAGCATCTCATATTTGTTGTAGGAGATCTTTCCCAACCAGTGATGCATGGTTCTGACAGCGTAATTGACCAGTGGAGTAAGGGAACACTACTTTCACCATCTGGCATAGAAAGAATTTTTCCCTCATGAAGCATCCAGCGGAAAGTTATGGTTTTTCCAGACCCAGACAACCTTTCTGATCCAAGCAAGTACATTCTAGTTGACTTCCAAAGGTTAGAGTTTCCTTTGACAAGTGTTGTTTTCCCTTGGTATCCAGAAGTTGGTGATATGTTACTTATCAAAGGCGATGATCCAGAACCATGGCGGGGTTTAGTTCTGGCAGTGCACATGAGGAACAAAACTGTGCGACTGCAGTTCTTCGTACCACATCCTCGGTAGGGAAGACAGTCTGGCGTCTGGGTGCGTGAAGGTACACGACCTCAAGAAGTGCACTTAAAGAGCAAGCTTGGAAGTTGTATAGGACATTGGCAGGGAAACAACAGCATCTTAAAAGAACTGCAGACTTGGATGCTACTGACATTAGAAAAAAAAATTCCATTTGGAGAATGGTTCATGTGAGTTTATTAGACGCAATAATTACATTTGTTTAAGAATAATCTGTTTACATGTATGCACCAGTTACCATGATACAACATTAACTACTGGAAAATATTGTTGTGTACTGCAGGTGGCAAAATTTCCATTTTAACCTCATGTTGTTCCCAACATTTGGGATTTGATAAAATTCCCACTTAATTTCCAACGTTGGTTCTTTGTTTTCCACTCAATGCCCAATACTGGGTTTTTACTTTGGGAATTCTTTATCATCCTTCCAGACTTAGAACATCTTTTTATGTTAATTACCATTGAACTCCCAAGTTTTCTACTTTAGTACCCAAAACAGGGATTTTACTTTGGTAATTTATTTTGCTTTCCCAGTAGTTTCCAATTTTGGAAATTGCCTTTTTTTCTGGTGATAAAAACCCAACAAACTCTCAAGGTTGGGCCTTTCAAACTCGATTAATTGCCAAACATATATTTTCATCATTGAATTTTTGTGTTTTTCCCATGTAATATCCCAAATTGGGTTTTGAGAATGGGAATTTATCAGAAAATCCCAACTTGGGAATCTGGTATTTTTTCCTGTGAATAGACCTTTTCTCAGACCATAATCGGTCTCAAACATTAGCACTTAAAATGCGAGAAACACATGTGCCGATGGAGAGCGTGTGAGAGCGTTTGGTAAGAGCTGTTGAAGAAGGATCAAAGCGGCCATCCAAATCTTTGAAGGGCTCCAAACTAGGGCGTACATTAAATTTGGCCTTCTCGAAAACTGGTCTCAAATTACATACTAAAAAACAGTGATTGCGTTTGTCCTTGAGAACCATAGAATACGCGACAAATACGTACAAAAAATACTTTTAAACATTCAGAATAAGTCAAAGTACATTTAGCTACGGTGAAAGAAAAACGCAACGGCCTAACTTTTACGGAATGTCCAGTCAAAGTTTGCCGATTTCTGCTGCTTTCACCGCCATATTGAAAATGAAGCTACCACAATGCAACGTAATCGGAGTGTGCACACCGCCTGTACGCTAACATAAATGTTATTTTCTTAAATTAAAATAAAAAATATCTAAAAAATACTCCCCACAATTTGAATGCCCCTTGTAGAACCTTTTCCTCCAAAAATTATATCAATTCTCGATCGATCGATCCTTTTCGGCAGCCATCTTTGTTTACAGGTTTCCGACAGCCAATCAGACAAATTTCCCATTATTGGCCCTGTAGTATTGGGAAGAAAGCTATCTTAAGGAAGCCATGTTTTGTTATTCAACAACCTGAGCCAATGGAAACAGTTCTACTTTTTTTAATTTTGGCCATGACATTCCGTCGCTGTAGGTCATGCAGGGAAAGTCCCATTCGACTGAGATGGAAAACCAGGCGCCACATTATCGATGAGCATTTCTGTCGTGAAAATGTTGATACGTGCTCCACCTTTTATCGAGACATTTCTTTCCGGATGGTATTTGAAAGATTTAAAGCCCGATTTAGGGAAGGCACTCTGGAGAAAGAAGATCCTCGTTCATCCAGAAATTTGGTGTACTTTTGCCTGTTCGATCGTGTTGTAGGCTCCTCCCCGTCGCCAGATGGACGAAAACGACTGAGAAGTCGTCATGTGAGGGTGCCATGCGTCCGTTCAACATGTCGCAACTGTTCTCATCCTGTGATAGTGATAAAAACATTTTTTCCGGATGGACAGCGCAGACCGATTTATTAAAGAACCAAACTTATGAAGCGAAAACCCAAGGTTCTGAAATGAAGAACATGCTGTTGTTCTATATAGTTGTCACGAAGTAGAAAAGCCAGCCAAAATAAAACTAGCACGAGTCAGCTACTTTCCCTTAGAAGTCGAATACGTGTAATTTTTGATTACAAGAGATAAATTAAATCGATTATACATGCATTGGTCTTCTTCAGCTGAATTTGATGTTCCTTTAAGATGTTACTCAGCAATGCGGGAGAAACTATCCATGAAACAAATGTAGGAATCATCCACTACATAATAGTTCAGCAAAATGCTACGAAAACCATTTAAAACTGAACAGTTTTTGAATACGTTCTGCTCACACTGTTTGTCAGATGCAATATAGTTTGATCATTAACTTTACTAATAGCTTCTCAAAATATATGTTTCCTCCTCTCCTTTTTTCCAAATTAAGCTCTCTTAGTAGACATTCTGGAAATAAAGAGGCAAATCATATTCTGCAAGTTGACCAGTCTTTTTACGCAAGCTTATCCTATGAGTATAATCATACTAAAACTTTCGGGAACGAAAAGTAGGATAAGTTTCTAAGTGAATCAGAGTACCGTAGTAGAAGAAAAGGTTCATGCGTTGATAGAGCTCAATTAGAGGGTTAACACCCTGTGTCTGTGGGTTAGCTGAAAGTCCAAATCAGTAGGCTTAGGAGGGGTTGTAAAATCTTGATGGCTAGAGTTAGGAGTATACCCCGCCATTAGCCAGACTTGCCGATAAAAATGCTGAGGACTTAACGTCAAGGGTAGTACCCCACATGCAGCCCAGCCACTAACCTATCTAAGGATGGGTTGCAAATGGCTTTGTAAGGAAAATCTAGGGGTGGGGAGGGCATGTTATTGGACCCCTTGTCTAACTGGCAGTTTTCTATGAGGCTGGAAGGGGCTTGTCTTATTCATCTTATTTGACTGCCTGTATTACAGGATTGGTGGTTATGCTTGTACCCTTTTCACACCACAGCCACTAGGCTAACACTCCATGGCTGGATGGTGGTTGAGTGTTAAAAGCATGCCTTTGGGCGAGAGGGCTCCATTGACGATGTAAAAACCTGATGTCTAGGTTTTCTCTTGAGGGTGGTTATCGCCATAGTGGCCCTGCTTACGCCTTCAATGGAAAGTCTTTGATTAATGCATCACTAAAGGGGGATAATTCTATTACTGTAAGCAGAATAATTGCTATTGGTCAGCTGGTTGCAGCAAATTGATAAAAATAGCCTTTTAAGATTGGTCTGATGAAGGTAGAAATTCTCTCAACAAAGCTTAAGGATGGAGTATGCATTCATGTAAGGAGAAAGTGGAAGAAATTTCATAGGCGTTTCAACACAACGAAATCTTCTGAAACACAACAATATTTTCCAGAACACAACGAAATCTTCTGAAACACAACAATTTTTTCCAGAACAACAAAATTTACTTATACACAAAAGCAAGCTAAAACACACCAAAATCAAAATTTCAAAGTACTGGTGACTAAACCTGTCACTGAAAGCGACCGGAACCTGGGACTAGCTCTGTCCTGCTAATTAAGGCGCCATTTTTGTAACTATGCAACGTACATTTCGACAAGATGCAGAAGCGCACAAGAATGGGTCATCTCCGGCGAACCAAATGATTGAAAGCTAGAGGGCATTTTACAGAAGAAACAGGTCTGTTTGGTGGATTTATTTCTTTAAAAGCCTCATGGAATAGGAAATCTTTAACCTAGGAGATGAGATTCAAATGGCATGCCTCTGGTTCTCTTTCGCTCAATTACTTCAAGATGACCTGGATAAAGTTAAACAACACTGGTACACACATTTAATAAGGGGCTGTAGCCGTGACACTATCAGTGGAAGACCGGATGAACCATTCTTTCTCCCAGAGCTTCATAGAAAGTAGATGGTCTACTTCACCCAATCCTGGATAATGAGATCTAATCCATGAGGGAGAACCTGACCCACGAAGAGGAGAAAAGTATCTACCAAGAGTACTTTGAATATTTAATTGAAAACACTGAGTTGCAGCTGCCCCACAATTGAAGAGGGACTCTTTCTGTTTAAAAGAACTCCTTGAAATTGCTAACGTATGATGTTTGACGAACAAGAACGAGCTGTGCGATATCGGTGGGGGTAGGTTCGTACATTAAGTGTTCCCTTTGATATAGGCCAATTACACCTATGACCATATAGCCATGACTGATTTATGCTTTTTATTTTCCATTTCACTACTGTACAAGTAAAACTAAAGAAAAAGGTTGGCATCAAACTCAACTTTAAAATCTTTTAATATAATTATCCATCACAAGTAGTTACCAGTACATCTCACAAAGCAGTTATCTTTTGACAAGTGTTATTTCCTTGAAGTGCTTATAGGAACAAGAATGTGATCAGTAGATTTCAACTGGACGATATCTAGATTCAAGTAAATGAACAACTTGGAAATTTGCTTTCTTTCTTTGATCATACTGAAGCAATGATATCTACTGATGACATCAGAACCAAAACAATACCAACACGTACAGGGGCTTACTACTTAGTAATACATTACTTCATAACTTATGGCAAAAAATCTGCTATCTATTAAAAATGCAACAGTAGCAGTCAATTTTTTATAGTCCTCCCTTTCTTTAGCAAATAGAGAAGAATTCTATTTCTGTTGTAAAGCATGTTGGAAGCTGTTAGAGCATGAAGAAAGTGGTAGAGTTCTCAAGCCACTTCTTAAGTGCTTTACAACAGAACAGAGCACTGTCAAGGCTTCTCTATTTGTTTTATAATAAAGAATCTGTTAAATAATGCATTACTCTCAATTTTCAAAAGAAACTTAAGGCAATAAATTATGACTGGTCTTAATGGGGACATAGTTTTTTTTACATTTTTGATACTAAATTTGTCTTCCCTCTAATTTTGCCCACTCCTGTCTGTTTTACATGCCTTTTTTGAGTCAGTTTTTTTTTGTTTTAGAGGAGATCACATTAAGCCATCCTAGATATAATGCAGTAGGTCAAAATGCTTTCCTAGTCTTAATACAGTAAAGATATTGTAGCACTTTATATGGCACTTTTTATAAACAAGGATGTCCTCTGAGATTTTCTTAAGCTCACAGCTCAGCCTTTTGTGACTTTGATATGAGAATAACTCTTAAATGTAGTGCACATTTTGATTGAGTATTTAAAGTAATCACAAAAAACAGTCACAATGACAAAATAATAACTCTAAATCAAGACACAAACAAAGCCTACTTTTCAAAGAGCAGGAAGACTTGAGTGATGACTAACATCACAATGTACATTCTCCATAATATTCTATTTATACAAGAATAATTTGTTCAGCAATCAAGAGCTTCTTAAGTTGGAGATTATTTTCTTTATTCTCATAACCTTCCTGTTTGATTCAGGGTTAATAATGTAGGGAGAAATCAGATGCTGGTCAGCTCTCAGTGGTTGAAGGGTTAAGTCATGATTGGGTTAAGTATAGCATCTGACTGGGTGAGAGATTGATGTGAGTTTGTTGGACCACTCATACAGCAAAGTGAAGCATTACCAATGCAGTGGATGCTAAGTTGAAAATTTCCTTATCTTGTAGGACACCTTCAGTTAAAGGCGTGGTCTTTCAGGTCTTCAGAGTCTCCCAAAAATGGAGTCACAGGTTTGGATCACTTGGAGACTGTGTTACCAACCTACTGGAGCACATCCTTTGCAGTTCCCCTTATTCCAGAATCGGATATGGCAGAGGAGGATCAGGATATGAAAATGCATGAGGAAAAAGAGCTTTGTAGAGGGTAGACAATGGAGACAAAAATATCAAGGTATTTGGATACATTTTCCTTTATTTAAGACACTGAACTGCTCTGCTCCAGGAAAAAGCTGCATGCAACATGGAGTAATTATCATGCTCTAATTTCAGGTGGAATTTTAACCCTTTAACTCTCAGGATCCAATTGTCAATTCTCCCCTCTAGCTGCTACACATTTTTTTGTAAGCTAGTTATAAGGATTTGATGGTAGATCAAGATAGCAACTTCTACCTGATAAATTTGGGTATTCTCATTAACTTTTTATTGGATAATGACTGGATATTATAGGGAGAAGTTACTTGTTAATCACTTGTGGGAGTTATAGGGTTAAATATGGGTTTTTGCTTTTGCTGTTAAATTAAGGGAAAGTAAAAGTGGGTCAGTGAATTAAGACAGGTTTCTCTTTGTATTGTAGTTACATGAAGGAAAATCTGCCATTCTTGGGAGATTTATCACTTTTACTCTCACAAGTGGCCATTAAGTTACTTCTCCTTTAACCCTTTGAGTCCCAGAAGTGATGAACATGTAACTTCTCCCTATAATATCCATAAATTGTCCAACAATCAGGTAATGAGAATACTCAAACTTATCTGATAGAAGT